GAGGCTTCTCAGCTTCCCAGGAGAAAAATCCTGGGTGAAGGGCTTTTTCAGAAAATATGAATGTGACAATTTGAGGCTTTTCATTTGTAGGTACCTTCTTTAAATATCAAAAAGCTGCATTTAGGCACAGGGATTTCAGGGAATCTTAAATACCTCAGAGTTGTGCTCCTGTATCAGTGCAACAGGACTCCAAATTATGGTTTGCAGTAATTAAATTGAGCAGTTCCACTGGGGGTGAGCAGCACAATGAAACAGAATTAAAAAACAGAGAGCAGAAGTGGAGAGGGCAGGGATGTGTGAAACCATAGTGACTATTCATTCCCAGAGGGAAATGCTGGAGCCTCCCCTGCCCTTCCCTGGGGTGAGCTTTAGGCCCAGTGACACCTCCTTGAGTCCTTCTTCAGCATCTTTCTGTTTTCCTCCATTTTACTCTCACTTACCTGCCCTTCCCTGGGGCAAGCTTTAGGCCCAGTGACACCTCCTTGAGTCCTTCTTCAGCATCTTTCTTTCTGTTTTGCTCCATTTTACTCTCACTTAATTCAGTTTATGCACTCAAATCCCTCCCCAGCACACTTAGAAAAAAGTAATTCCAGAGTGCTGAAAAAAACCCAAGGATTTTACCTTGCACTAAAAGAAACAAACAATTTGTCTTTTTTCAGAGCCATCAATCCATTTACTCTCACTTAATTCAGTTTATGCACTCAAATCCCTCCCCAGCACACTTAGGAAAAAAGTAATTCCAGAGTGCTGAAAAAACCCCAAGGATTTTACCTTGCACTAAAAGAAACAAACAATTTGTCTTTTTCAGAGCCATTACTTCCACATCAATTCCTCTCCCTGGTCAGTTCATTCAGCTTTTCTTCCAACACTTTCTATTATTATTACATATAAATTCATGAATAATAAAAATTAATTATTTTCAATATATTCGTCCATTCTTATTACATATAAATTAATGAATAATAAAAAATTAAGACCTATAAGCTTACGAGCCATTATTTTTTTTGCCAGTTGTCCCCTGGCCCTCCCTGTTTAATCCCCACACCTGCATTCCTCTGCACCCTCACCTTTTTTCCTTGTAGCTGGGGCCTGAAACTTGAAGGAAAAGAGAAATTCTTGTTTGCTTATGATGCCTTGGTGCATTTTTTGGACCAGTGGACGATGTTTTCTTCTCAGGAGTTTTCTTAGAGCTTGGCTTGTAAACAAAGGTCTTGTACTGCAAAAATATTTCAAGATTTTTATGGTGATAAAAATTCAGCCTTATAGGTTTTGACCTGGTTTGCTTTCTAGCAAAGATTCAGTGTCACGGGTTTGTGCTCAGTTCTTTGTTTTTGAAGCATCAGGGTGAAGTTAGAAGGTTAAAAATGCTCTTTCTTTGTGTGAGGATTAATTTACTTTCAGTCTATTGAGTTACAGCCTCACAGAGGAAAATAAGACTATAAAACAATAATATTGTTTATATAAAACAATAAGAATATAAAACAAAATAAATTGCTTTTCCCTCAAACAAACAAAAATAAACCTTGGAGCTCTGTGCACCGAGGCTCTGAGCTTTAAAGACCTTTTTAATTGGTTTTTCCCCTCAAATACATTTACTGACACTGTGAGTGCTGAGCCTCATTGAAGGGATATTTTCCTACTGATACTAAATGACTAATTGTGCTTTTATAATCAATTATTGAAGGCTGGCTGAGAGAGGAGAGCTCCTTCAACAACCACTGCTTAACAAAGCAGGCTCTGCCTCCCACAAAATACAAATCAGCCTTTCCTCCAGTGCTGATTGTGAAAATAATCTGTGTGAAGGGTTTTATTTCTCCCCTAACATTTTTTTGTTGTCTGTTTTGAGGTTTATTTGTTTTGTTTGGGTTTTTTTCCCTTCTGTGTGAAGGGTTTTATTTCTCCCCTAACATTTTTTGTTGTCTGTTTTGAGGTTTGTTTGTTTCGTTTGGGTTTTTTTCCCCTTGTGTTCTTGGTGCTTTATTTCAGTTGCAACCCCAAAAATGGAACAGAAATGGGGGGTTTTTTTGCTCAAAAGATTGAAAGTGATGAATGGATTTTGTTCTTTTAGTGATTTTATCAAGAAGCTGCTCAGATAATTTAAACTGAGTGAGGGAAGTTGATACAGGGAATCTTGGAGAAGGGAGAAAATTGAATCAGCACCAGCGGGGAGTCAGCAGCAATAGTGGGAGTTTTGGGCAGGAAATGCAGGTTTTTGGTAAGTTTTGGGTGGTGGGGACATTAAAACACCACTGAGAAGAGAATGAGCAGCTCTGCAGCACTGGGGGACAGCTCAGGCTCAAGGAGGGCTTTCCTTGGAGGAGGAAGAGCAAAGTGAAAGGAATAAATTGATCAACCAAAAAAATCAGTTGGGATTAGAGAAAGAGTCCTACACATTCAAGGGGGGCATAAAACCATGTTAAACTGTGCTGGGCAGGCTCCTGGGATGTGAGATTTAAGATTTAAGGTTTAAATTTAAGATTTAAAGGAGTGAGTGTGTTTTCTGAAAGGTTTCATCATCCAAATGTCAAGGGGCTGAAACTGAGGCAGCTCCAAAAAAACTGGTTTGTGCCCAAGAGGATTTCTGCAGATTTTTGTAGCCAGGTGTTTCAATCTGAGTTTAAAAGTTGGGCTCTGTCAGCAGCAGTACAGAAACTCTGAAATACTGAAAAGCTAATTCAGTTTATCAGTTTTTCACACAACTTTTTGCTTTAATGCTTATCTCCAACATCAGTTTCCCTCTCCCTGGTGAGAATTCCTGATGCATCCCCCAAGGAGCAGCAGCTGAGGCTGTCACAACCCTCCTGGAAGGAATTCCTCCCTGCTGGAAAAACACAAAGAGCTGCAGAGAGGAGCTTTTCCCCCAAAGCAGAACCAGCGTGGGCTGAGTGTGTGAGCAGCACCTCTGCCCTGCTTCTGCCCTCAGTGCAACTGTGCAGGAGCCAAAACCAGAGGGACGACCCCCAGTGCACCCCAAAGGAGCAGCTGATGTGGGAACAGGAATGGGATGGGATGAGGATGAAGAAAATGAGATTTTTCACACACAACCTCCCTTCCCACCCTCCATCCTCCTCTCCTGAACACCCGGGCCCCCTGGGATGGGAATTTGTTTTAATAGAGGAAACCCACTTCGAGGGGTTTCTTCTAAATCAGGACAGAGGGGCAAAAAAAACTTTATTTTAAAATAAAGTTAAAAAACTTTAAACCCTATTTAAAAGTAAAGTTTTGTTTGGGGGAGGTTGGGCAGGCAGTTCAGGGTGCCAGCACTCCTCTGCCTCTCCCTGGGGAGGAATTGATCCCATTAAATCCATCAGGGAATTCACAGCAGAGCCAGGGACATCTTCTGTCACACTCCTAATGCACAGAGACAAGCTCTGTGCTGCCTGGCCTGCAGAAAAATGATTTTTTCTCCATTGATTCGTGTCCTGCTCTGAGAATCGAGGGGGATTTAGGTGCATTCATTAAGGAAATCAGGTTTGGACAAGTGTGTGGGGAAAAGTTCTGGAGGAGTCTTTGGATTTGGTTATGTGGGATGGCCAGAGCTGCTCTGTGGGAACTGTGACATCCACCTAATCTAGATTGGATTTGGATAATCAGTCTAGATTAGATAAAAATGCTGTTAAAATCATTGTGATACAGAGAGAAAATCAGTTCTGGAGAGGAGGAGCCAAATGCTGCTCCTGTCTCCATCTGAGGCTGGGAGGGGCAAACAAAACTGGGATGAAACTGGGTGCAGAAGGATGATTTTTATCCCTTTTATTCTCCCTAGATCTATCCAAACCTAGGGTTTGATTTTGGTTCTAGGATTCAAACATCTAGGTTTTGATCTTTGTTGTCTTCCCATAAATACCTGCAGAGCTCTGTCATCAACACCAAAGGCACCAAATTCCTTCGGGGCTTCCAAGAGTTGTGCCCCTCGCTGAGGGCTCCATAAATATTTCTGTATTCCATAAAAAACAGAATATCCTGAACTGAAGGTGACCAAAAGAATCACCGAGCCCAGCTCCTGGCTCTGCACAGGGTTTGTTTTCATCCCTGGAGAGGCAGAGCAGCATTTTAGCCCTGATTTTTTTTTTTTTTTTTTTTTTTTTTTTTTTTTTTTTGGGAAAGTATAGAGAAGTGGTGTGTGGGTGGAGTAACACAGGGAAAGGGAAGAAAGCCTGGAAAACTGGAGTGTGATGTCCCAAACCACAGGCTGGCAGCCTTGCCCATGGTTTGCTGCCTTCCTCGAGGCTTCACAAACACTTTCATAACTGTTCTGAGGGGAGGAATTTCTGCTCTGTGTTCCAAGGCACCGAGATGGGTAAATATGATTTATTTCCCTTCTGCTGTGCGTGCTGGGTATTTCTTTGTGGGGTAACTGAGGTAATTTTAAAATTTTACTCCCCTGCACGAGGGTGAAGCTGGAGCTGGGCTGTAAAGGTGTCTCTGTGTGCCTTAAATGCCCTTTGGGAGGGAGTTAAAACTCACACCCCGTAGCCACCAATTTCTGCTTGATGCAGCTTTGCCCTCATCGGTGAAGCGCAGCTACGACGCGAATTAAATTCGTTTTTAGGGGATTTCTTTCCCTCCTAAAAACCCAAAAAGAAAACCACACAGCAGGCAGAGCGAGGGTTCAGCACGCCTGAAATCTCCAATTTCCAGTGCAGAAAAGAGCCCAAAGCTAATACATCCAGGGGAGTGTGTTTATCCTCCTGAGGAGCTTTTTCCAAGAGTCTCCCTCCAACCTCTGAGTGTCGAATCTGATTTTTTTTTTCCATTCTGGATTTTTTTTTTTTTCCTGCCTCCAAACTTAACTGTTTTGCCACTGGAGGAATCCTCTTCTTTCTCTGTTAAATATTTGTATTCTTGCTGGAAATCAGCTCTACCTCACCCACATGACTGGTCTTCACTATTAATCCCAGCTGATGGCAGGGAGGGGCTCTAGTGGGAGGCAGCCATGTGGTGAACATTGAGCTTAGTGTTTTCCCCCTGCTTCTCTCCTCTCCAGACAGGCAAAATTGTTCTGTGCTGCCGTGGATGTGAAGTCCTCGCCGTGCTGCCTCTGCCTCTTCTCCCCCAGAAACTCCAAGGGCCCTGAATTTGCAGCCCCAAAAGAAAAAGAAATCCATCTGGCTGGATCTGGGTGGAAGATGGACCAGGGGGTGAATAGCAGGAGGGAAGAAAGAGTGAAGTTGGTGATTTTTCTGGCACATGGATGCAATTACACTCGGTGCATTCCAGAGGCGTTCCTTTGAATCCTGTGCAGGTCTGCCTGCCGTCCTTGGGAGAGAGGAAGAAAAAGAAAAAGGGAGGAAAAGTCCCTCTTGCTGGGAGACGGAATGTCTGCATTTTCAATCCTCTTTTTAGGTAGGTTGGCTTTTTTGGTGTTGCTTGCTTTTTATTTAATCAAACTTCCACGAGTCTGCTCCGTGTGCCTGAAATTCATTGCTGGTGAGTTGGAGAAAAGGGGTTTGTAACGAGGAAACTTTCATGGAAAAACTGTAAATTTCAGTGGTGTTTGAGTTCTGATCCTTTTCTGAGCAGGTTGACAGCCAGAGATCTCTGATTATCCAGACTAATTTTAAAAAGTGTTGGTCAAACAGACTCGTTTGAGAATGTGTGTTTCTTGTTTGAAGAGAGCAGCACTTTTCAGGGATAAAGGAGAGAGGGGCTTGGAGGTCTTGGGCAAAACAAGGTGAATAAAATGTCTTTGTTCCAGGCAGAGTGTCAAATTTGTGTTGCTGTGTGGATTTGTTGGGCACTCAGCGTTCAGAGGTTGGAAAGAAAAAGGGGTTATTGTTTGCAATGGATGGCTGAGATTAGAAACAGATGTGTTGGAGTGCAGCAGGGAGCAGTTGGGGGAGAGAAGGATGAGAGAAGGGGGAAGGAGAGAAAGAAAAGAGGGAGAGAAAAGAGAGCGAGGCTGATTTGTTGAGGAGGAGAGGGGCAAAGGAAGGAAAAGGAGAGCGCAGGAAAGCTGGAGGGAAAAGAGTTGGCAGCCCTGAGGTGTCTGAGGGGCTCCTGCAGGGAGCTGTGCCTCCCTCCTGCTCACCCCGTCCTGCTGACAGCTCCAGCCCTGGCTGGGCAAAGCCTGCCCGTTCCGGGGCTGCTGAGGAACCTGGCACAGGTGTGCCAGAGAGGGCTGGGCTCTGCCTCCCTGCGAGGAGCCGAGGGCATGGGGACTGGCAGAACAGGATTTCGGAGCAGCTCTAAAGGACTGTGGCAGGGAAAGCCCAGTTCAAGGCTCCCAGGTGTGGAATGTGGACTGGAGAGGGGAGATTTGGTGGTCAAATTTAACGTTTGTGCAGCTGCTGATAAATGGAGAAGTGGCTTTGGCCCTGGGGATTGCTGTCAGCAAAGGTTTTTCTCTGTAGGGCTCTGGGGTTTTTCTCTGTAGGGCTCTGGGGTTTTTCTCTGTAGGGCTCTGGGGTTTTTCTCTGTAGGGCTCTGGGGTTTTTCTCTGTAGGGCTCTGAGGTTTTTCTCTTCAGGGCTCTAGAGTTTTCTCTGTTTTCTCTGTGAGGGGTTTGGGTGTGCTGGGGGATCTGGGCAGTGCAGGCAGCACTTTGTCCCTGCACATCTGCTCTGGCCCTTTGTGCCTCTCTGTGGTGGGGAGTGTTTGAGAGAGCAGGGCCAGGCACAGCTCAGCCCTTCAGGAAGTGGCTCTGTGGAAATTTGGGACACAGAAGGGTGGGTTGCTCACCTTGCTGGTGGAGACAATGGGGATTGCAGTCTTTGATCCTGTTCAGCTGCTGAATATTCCAATTTGTGGAAGGTTTGGAGAGAAAGGAACAAACTGTTGCTGCAGAAAAGGTGGGTTTGTTTGTAAGATAATAACAACTTACCTTTGCTGCTTTTATCTGTAAAACACAAGTGGCTTTATCAATTGTCTTGGTTTACAAGGCAGGTGTTTGCTAGGGAAGGCAGAAAGCCTTCCTGGAATGGGGAATTTAAATTACCAGTGTGTCCTCAGCATCTCCACTATGATAGGAACACAGGAATGCCCAACAAAAGACACTTTGCCCTCCCCTGGAATCGGGTTTCTCAGCCTCTCCTGTCCAAGCACTGGTGAGGGGAGAATTGTCTTCAAAACTCCAAAAACTGGAATTTTTGTTTCCTGGTCCTACAATGGCCACTGAACTTTACCTGAGCTTTACCTGCCCTGCCAGCAGAGGACTAGGTCTGTCTGCTCCTTGTCCAGCTTTGTTCACCAATATTAGAAGCAAGTCCAGGGAAAAGGAAGGAAATGGTGTGGTTCCCTGTCCCTGGATCCTCCTGAACACAAGCAGGATAGGGAGTCTGATTTGCTGCCTAGAGCCTGGGTTTTGTGCAGTAAAAATCTACAGAACTGCCAGTGATATCTTGCTACATATATGTGGTTTTGTTTTTTTTTTTTTTTCTGATAAAGTGAAGACTAATGTGGAAAAAAAAAAGGTTTTAGAGAAGCCTTAGGAGGAAGGTTTGTGTTTTCATCATTAAACATCCCAATAACGTGGCTAATATACACAAGCCTTGTCTTTTCCACTGTTTACCTCTCTGGGGCACACGAGCAGCTGTGTGAGGAGACAGAAAGCCAATCTGTTTGAAGGAGACTTTATTAAAACAGGACAAGATGAAAGACTTGGCTGAGTGTGGACAAGAGCTCACTTTGCCAGGAGAGGCTGAGGAGGGGAAGGTGGCCCAGTGAGTTCAACATGATTGTGACCAGCTGAGGAGTGAGAATCAGGTGTCACAACCTCCTTTTGTGTCACTGCACCCTTGAAAAGCAGAAGTTTGAAGTGGTTCTTCACTTCAGAGTGGAGAAAGTTCGTAATAGGATGTTGCATTTTTCACCCAATAAAGAAGTAGGCAATGCTTTCATTGAAATGTGTTCCTGAAGTGGTTTACATTTTATGGGGTGGAAAATCTCTGCCTTTCCCCCACTCCAAGTCAATCATGAATGTTTTTAATGACCCAACAACTAAGGAAAAAGCTGATTTTCTTGTGATCAGAACAGCTTGGAGGGGTGATTATTTGTATGCCTGGCTTTGTCCCTGGTTCTGTGTGTACTTTGTCCCTGGTTCTGTGTGTGCTTTGTCCCTGGTCCTGTGTGTACTTTGTCCCTGGCTCTGTGTGTGCCTTTTCCCTGGCTCTGTGTGTGCCTTGTCCCTGGTTCTGTGTGTGTTTTGTCCCTGGTTCTGTGTGCTTGCTCACTGGTTCCGTGTGTGCTTTGTCCCTGGTTCCGTGTACTTTCTCACTGGTTCCGTGTGCTTTTCCCTTGGCTGTGGGCTGCAGGGATGCTCTGCCCTGCAGGAGCTGCTGCCTTTGGGACCAGAGCAGGAGCTGTGCCAGCCCCAGCCCCTCACCCCCCTCTCTGCCATCCTGCCGCGGGCACTGACCCCTTCCAGCAGTGCCGGGGTCACCCCCACAGGGCAGGAAAGCAAGCAGCTCCTCAGGGATTCCGTGGGAGCCCTGTGGGAGCCGGGGTCACTCTGGGGTGCTGCTGAGAGCAGCTCAGCCCTGCCCTGCACGCTCTGAGCTCGGGATCTCTTTCAGAGCTGTCCCAGGGCTCTGACCCCACCGTGCTGAGCCCCAGCTCCTCCTGTCTCACTGCACAGCAAAAAGGTTCTGGAGCAGCTCCTTGTGAGGAATTGCCTCTGACAGCCGGCATTTGCCCAGGTATCCACGGCTGGTAGCTGGGAAATCCGAGCTGATGCAGAGCTGGGGCTGCCCGGGGCTCTGCTCTGCTGGGAAACCCTCCTGCTCCTGCTGTGGGAGCACAGCCAACCTGTGGGGTGCTGGCCTTGCCATCCTGCCCCCCAAACCCTCCTGCTGTGGGAGCACAGCCAAGCTGTGGGGTGCTGGCCTTGGCATCCTGCTCCCCAAACCCTCCTGCTCCTGCTGTGAGAGCACAGCCAACCTGTGGGGTGCTGGCCTTGCCATCCTGCCCCCCAAAGCCTCCCATTCCTGCTGGAAGAGCACCCTTGAAAACAGCAAACCTGCGGGGTGCCCTGGGCTTGGCATCCTGCTCCCCAAACCCTCCTGCTCCTGCTGTGGGAGCACAGCAAACAGCAACCCCTGGCCTTGCCATCCTGCTCCCCAAATTCTCCTGTCCTGGGCCACAGCAAAGCAAAACCCACTGGGATAATTGGATTTTGAAGAAGTGCCCCTGCTCTCAGTGAGGATTGGGAAATTAGTCGGATGCTGCTGCCTAGGAGTGGTGGAAACCAAAGGAGAGAGGTTTCAGGGTGCTTAAAACAAAGTTTATGGATTTTTATTTCCCAAAAACCAAAGGACACAGATTTCAGGGTGCCTAAAACAAACCTTGTGGACTTTTGTTTCCTAAAAACCAAAGGAGACAAATTTCAGGTTCCTTAAAATCAACCTTGTGGACCTTTATTCCTGTTGGTTTTCCAGAAACAGTAAAAAACCAAAGGAGAGTTTTCAGGTTGCCTAAAATGAAGGTTGTGGACCTTTATTTCTGCTGATTTCCCAGATATTTCCAGAATTTCTCAGTGATAACTGAAGAATAGCAAATATATTTTATATTTTCATTTTCTTTGGCTCCTTCTCTTGCCTTTGACTGTTCTGTGGTGCTGAAGGTTGGTGGTACAGGAGCTTTGCCTCACTTTTTTCTAACATTTAGCACAAACTTTGGCTCAGAAATGGTGTAAACAACAACAACAACAACAAAACAAAAAACAAAACAAAACAAAAAAACCCTCCAACCTGCAGCTGGGAAAAGAAGTTTTTGTGTGTGATTTTTTGTCTTGATTTCACCTCCCCTCTGTCACTGGCTCCTGAAGGAATGCAGGGATCTTGGTGGTGTATTTAGCTTTAAAAAGGGACTGTTCTCCCCAGGACAGCTTCGTGGAATTGATAATTTCTCTCAAATTCCAAGAGCAGGCAACAAAACAACTGTGGGAGATGTTCAGGCTGCTAGAGGAGTTAAACTCGGGTTTAATTCCAAGTCTTTATTAGAGCACTGCTCTGGGAATACCTGAGGAAAGGGAATAAAGGAGAGCAGAGGATCTATTTGGCTCCCCAGGGGGAATTCAGAGGAGCCAGACACAACTGAGCTGCTCTCTGGCAGAATGTCAGGGTTAACACTCCTCTGAGACCCTCCAGTTCTTCCAAAGCCAGGGATGGTTTGCATCAAATATTTGCTGTTGAGACACTTGATGATAAATTGCCTGTTTTTTCTCTAGTGGTGTTTTGTTTTGTATGAAATTGTTGGGATTTTTAACATTTAATACCAAATAAACTTTATTTTGGAGGTTTTTTTTTTTTTTTTAATCCAGAAAGGTCATTTTACCATGAGGAGGAAAAGGGAGAAAAAAAAAACTGCCACAGTGAGGAAAACAGCCAAATTTGTGGAGAAAAATTCATT